CCAGGGTTAGAAGGCGACGTGGTGAAAGGAGGAATCCACAGTTTTTTGTTGAAAGAGATGTTCATCACACTGTTGGAGTTATGGTTTGGGGTGCTATAGCTTATGGTTCCAGGTCACCTTTAATCTTCATCAGAGGTAACATGAACGCGCAGCGTTATATCCACGAAGTTCTAGAACCCCACCTTTAACCCTATCTTGACACCCTGGCAGATCCAACTTTCCAACAAGATAATGCCCGACCACATGTTGCAAGAGTCACAATAGACTTCTTTCAACATAATGATGTCACATTGTTACCATGGCCACCAAGATCTCCCGACTTATCCCCAATTGAGCACGTGTGGGATATGATGGGTAGGAGATTGCTCAATTTGCAACGTCCTCCTCAGACTCTAGAAGCACTTCGAGAGGAGTTGGTGGTTGCCTGGAATGAGATACCACAGGAGGACATTGACCACCTGATCAGAAGCATGCCTAGGCGCGCTGGAGAATGCGTAGCACATCAGGGTGCATCCACACATTATTAAAGGTCAAAGGGCTTTAAAGCAGTGCAATCATTTTGAAATTTTTATCATTTACTTATTATGCTTCATTAAGTACTTATACAAAATTTTATTAAAATAAAACCATTTAAACAGGGTGTTCGGATTTATATGTCACTTAGTATATATTGAAGTTGCCTGGAAACAAAAATGCTTTGCCAAACATTGAACCGGTGGACGCATGGCGGAAAATTTTCTCTGACGATATTCTAGACATCGTTGTGCATTACACAAATTTGAAAATCCAGGAATTTCGTTCTAAGCCAGGGAATGAAAATCGTACGGAATACAGGGAAACAAATTCTGTTGAAATTAATGGTTTTCTGGGACTCTTGCTGTTGAGTGCTGTTTTCAAGACAAATAATGAGGCTATTGAATCAATATTTGCAACCGACGGAACTGGTAGAGAAATTTTTCGATTGGTAATGTTGACATAAAGATTCGCCGTATTATTAGCTTGCCTAAGATTCGATTCTTATGAAGAGAGAGTACTAAGATAAAATTAAAAAATTCAATCAAAATTCGCAATCAGCTTACTGTTTGGGAGCGAATGCAACTATTGACGAGATGTTGGTCGGTTTTAGAGGCAGGTGTAAATTCAAAATGTATTTACCAAGCAAAGCTGTAAAATATGGCTTGAAAGTGCAATGCCTTGTTGATGCTCGCACACACTACATATATAATACATATATTTATTGTGGCAAGGGCACCGATTCGCTAGAGGATATTACAGAAGAAGAAAAACGCTTTTCTATTCCAACGCAAGCTGTTGTTCGTCTTTGTAAACCCATATTTGGAAGCAACAGAAATATTACCGGCGATAACTGGTATTCTTCAATAGAACTCATAGACTATCTCATCAAAAAAAAACTTACTTACGTGGGTACTATGAAAAAAAACAAACGTGAAATATCTTCTAAGATAAGACCGGTGGGATCCACACTATATGGCTTTACAAATAACAAAACATTGATTTTCAGAGTAACAAAGAAAAATAAAGCTGTAATAATGATTTCTTCGATGCATCACTCCAAGCAGGAAGACAGCGGTTTGCCAGAAATTAATGCCTTTTATAATAACACAAAATCTGGACTGGATGCTGTAGACGAAAAATGTAGTAAATACTGCTGTAGCAGAAGAACGCAACGCTGGCCTATGGCTCTGTTTTACAGAATTGTGGACATGTCTTCAATAAATGCATTCATCATCCATCAGTCTTGTGTCAACGCAAATATGCTACAAAGAATAGATTTTTTAAAATTATTGGCCAACAACTGTATGAACCACTTCAGCGTGAAAGATCCCAAAAAACAAATTTGCCAAGAGAGTTGAAAGCAGGTATTTTCAGAATTCTGAAGATTGCCCAGGAGACACCAGCCAACGCTCCAGAAGCTTTGACTAGAAGTCAGAGGCAATATTGTTTTATCTGTGACCCAAAATTAAAAAGAAAAACTGGTTATTTATGTGTTCAATGCAAAAAACCAATATGTTTAAAATGTTCCAAAAAAATGTGTATTCAATGCATTGAAAATATAAAAGAGTCATAATTTTTTCTTTCTTTTTTAGGAATCTCTGAACCATTGTTATTTTTTTTTGTTTACGGTTGGAAATCAATATTATTCTTTTTATTTCTAGTTTAGACATTGTGAAACATGGTTTCAATGTGAAAAGTTGTTATTTTTAAGTTTTGTTTTTAAAATGAAGATCAACAGAATGCAATACTTATTTTGTTAACATTTTTAGCTTTAGATTTTGTTTGCAGTAGTTATGTACTTAACTGATTATAAATATAAAAGTGTTTTTTGTACGTATCTATGTTTCATTATCTAACAAAAACCGGCTATTTCTTTGAACAGTTGAAAAAATAATATATATATATATATAAATTTTGGAGTCCCAGGGTGAAAATGATAATAACACTGACAATAATAATCATCTATTATATTATATGATATTGATATTAATGATTCCTAATTCTTCATTTGATTTGTTGTAAAATGTTGTAAAAATCAATGAAATAAAAAATACAACCTGATGTTCTGTTCATTATTTAGATGCCTGCACACAACAATGAATAAAAGGGATAATGGATGTTTTAGGCATTTGCTAAAGTAAAAGCATATGACAGCAACTACAAAGTTGTAATTTGGACACAAAAGACAGCTGCACTTATTATTTTTTATTTGTAGTATTTCGTAAGTATTACGAGTTCAATAAAAAACGTTGGAATTATTCAATTTTTAGTAAAAAGGACCTACAAATGTTATACTACCTTTGAAAGAGCATTAAATAGTTATTTTTGAAGGTCACCATTTGTTGATTCAGTCTGGTACACTTTTTCGCAGTCATAGGTCAAACCTTAGGTAAGGTTTTCGCATTGAAACTAAATGTAATAATTTAGTTTTTTTAGCATACCGTGCTAGCTTACTCGGTTATCTCAATCAACTACTAATTGTAGCCCAGAAAAGATCATAAGTTAGAAATTCTTTATAGCCATAACAGGCAAAAAAGGAGCAAAAAGTAGGTATTTCTTAAAAAACTTGAAAGAGGCAATATCTCGAAAAATAGAAAACTTTTACTAGGGTCATGTTGATTTTGTCTGACTGATTTGAAGCAAGTCTACCTCTCGTGTCGCTCTAGCGTGTTCTTTCTGGGACACTCTGTATATCAGTGAAGCTACAAGGAGACGAAAGGGAAAGAGTTAGTTTCTCTATGCAATTATTGTATTGCATCCATTTTAAAAGAATGCACGTAACATTTATACAACAAAAGTGTAAGCCCCTTGCAGCCGCTATAGGACATTTGCGTCAGTGCAAGATTCAGTTTTTGTCAACTATACAACTATTCTGTTACGTGATTCTACTTTATTGCAACCAAACTATTTCTTATGTATTGCATAGACGAAGTGAAAAATATATAGCTAACACATTACAGTCATCTTGTTTACTTACATATCGGCCATTATTGTGAATTTCATTCACAGGTATATGATAAACTTCTACACTGTGATATAGGGCTATTGAATTACTTGCGCAGCAAATTTTATTGTGATTATCGTGCAAAGTAGTTACGCAATTCCTACGGGCTTCTTATTTCATGCATATTTTGATAATGATCAAAAGTATGTCTAGATTTTTAAAATGGAAAACTGAACTTATCTGCGTCAAATCTTCCACAAATCCTATATTTAGACACCATTACACTAATGTTTATCACTTTATATCTGTAATTTCGAACTGAAACATAATTATTTAATATTAAATAGAGGAATAAATGTTTGCCAATATGGCTGGTGGTTGTGTATAATCATGGCATCGTCCATGTTGTCTTCAGTTTATTAGAATGTTTTGGTGTTGCCTGCATGTGTTATACAACAATTTGGCAAATGTCTGAAATGAAATACCGACAGAGTCCAATGATTTACCCAGAATTTGTACCAGATCTATATCTTCTGTTTGAACAGTTGATAAAACCTTTTGAACCAATATGCATGCCTTGTTTGTCTTAAATCATTGGTTATGGCATTTAAACAAAAATATGACAGCAGAAAGTTAGGTTATGGTGAAGTTGTATACCAACATATTTAGCATATGTACAGCCTTTAACAGTTACTAAACAACAGTTGTACAAGTGCGCTTCCGTTGGGAGCAACTTGTTGGCTAAAGTAGTAATATGCACAGCAAAACAACAACGCTCGGGTTTGGTTTATAAACGTTACCATGGATGCCACAACACAACCATTTTGACTAACGTGCAAATATGCCGTATAAAATAGTTGTATAAACATATATGCAACAGTTAAAAATTTGTCCTATAAGGTGTTGTATAACTCTGCTAAAGAATATTTTAAACACCTCATTTTAGAGAAAATATGTTTCAGAAAGCAAATTTGCATTCCACACAACATTAAGCCAGCATTTTGGTGTTCAGGCAACAACAATAGAGAGCTTTTATGGCT